CGCTGTTCATTCGGACAAAGAAACCCCCATTCTATAGTGTTCGCTACGCTCCTGGGGTTTTTGAGGAAAAATAAGTAATTCAAATCAAATCGCTCTTCATATGTGTTAAACATAGCAAGCAGTGGCTAAAGTTTTACATTCGTTTTATATATACAGACATTTATAAGTTTTCTAAGTCCGTCCATGCGTATATTACCTTATTAGTCATGGTAATGATTTTGGTTTAAGGACAAAAAATTAAGGAATGTAAAAAAAAAAGCTGTCTATTTTCTTTTTTCTTCTGACAAAGAATGGCATAAAAATATACGTAATAAACTGGATGAAACTCCCAAGTAAAACAGTGAGTGGCCAGTATATCGTTACTCAGCAGGGAGACAAAAATATCAAAATTCAAATCTTTCAAAAAATTGCTTTACAAGACAAATAATAGTTCAGATAGACGAACGAATAACGGCGTTTCTCCTCAAATCTAATGTACTTAAACGGGGGTGGGTGCGGACTAGTGGAAAGTGTATCAGGCTGCGGGTTGATGGGGTTCGAGACGTGACGACTGCTGCTGCTAATTTCTGTCTTTAGGAGTCTTTGGTCTGCCCACGTGAGCATAAGGTGTCGTTCATGTTGAATATTTCCAATTTTATATTTAACGGGAAGGAAGAACGTTATCATTATTCCCCCCCCCGATTTCATAACCTGGATAATAGTGTAGGCATATGTCTCGCTCACGAATAAAACGAAGAACAGATAATTTGAAAATGATGAAAAATTGATGTTTCACTTCTTCTAAGGCCTGGAACTGAAGTATCTAAAGCTTAGTGTTTGTCACAATGATATGATTACATTAATATGAGCTCTGGTGATTTCATGTTTGTGTGTGTGTGTTTGTATATGCATGTGGTAAAAAGTAAAATAAATAAAAACGAAAACAGCAATATCGAAAAGCAACATAGCGGAAATGTGGGATTATAGTAAAACCCATTTTTGAACTAGCATACTATTATTTTGATTGCAGCAATAACGGAAAGTGTATAGTACTTAATTAACAAATTCACACAATACAGAAAGTTGTTCATTTCCAAGGCCAACAAGGCTAAAGTATGAAAAAAGTAGCTTTTTGGTATATTCATTCGTTGACCTATATTTTCTCTTGGAAGTTATTTTATTGTTAACAAAAAAAAAAAAAACAAAAAAAAAACAGCTGCATAACGAAGTTGAGTTGCGCCATCTGCCTTTCATTTTTAATAATACATTACTACCATTTTAGAAGGATCAACATTAATCCATGAATTATTAGGGTATGCTGTTTACACTTTATACTACTTATTACTAAACTGCCTAGGTAAGCCTTTTATAATTATTTTGATCTTGTAACAACTCTCTACAGGTGGAGGTTGGGTGTTTTATAAATGTAAAAATTAAGGGTTATTTTTAATAACAAATAAATTTCTTATTGATGGTTTTAGGGCAGTGACTACCATACCCACAGTTGGCTGCGGATGAGAAGTGGTAGTAGGTTGTGGAATGCTATGAGTTAAGGCATCCAACACCTAACCCTTATTTTTTCTTCCTTGCTATCCGTCTTGTTGTTCATCTGCGTTTTTTGGATTATATCTGATAAACGGGATATCCCAAACGCTTTTGGGATCCATCACAACATTTTCTTTTGAAAATCACACCTTTTGTAGTTTATTGACAAATGGTTTAATTCTTATTTTAATTCTTATTGTTTTGATAAATATTATAATTTCGAATTTTGTTGGGAGTGACAATTTTAGTTTTTGAATTTCCCTCTCAATATTTATGTTTAATTTTTCTTGCTGTTTCATCATTGAAACATATAGTGCCGAATTTTCGCCTAAATACTCTTGATGCAACTTACAATATTAGACTAGTTATTTTTATATGGAGTTTAGTTACACCAAAATAAATAAGTAATGCGGATAGAATTTAAATACGCTAAAGTATACTTATGTGACATATTATTATTATTACTAAAATATTTAAGCATTATAATAATCACTAAAACAAGAAAAACAACTTTGTTTGTAATTAAGCACAAAACTACACGATGGGCTATCTGTGCTCTGCCCCACCACAGCTATCGAAAAATTGGGTTTCAATACCCGCGGTGGGCACCACAGATAACTTATTGTGTAGCTTTGCGTTCAACAACAAACAAACAAAGTGCTTTTACCTTTATGGGGACGGCGTGCATTATTTGCTGGCAGTAGCAAGGGGAAAATTGAAATAATTGTCAAACTCGTAAAAGTAGGGAATTAAACAAAACAAAGGATTTTAGAATCCTTCTGGGAAAATATCCAATGAATCCCTAAAAGTTTCATGGTGATAAGAATTCGAGAAGTCGTAAAAAAAACTTCGTCACGGACAGACGGACACAAACCGTTTTATAATACATATGAGCAGGACATCCTGTGATTTCCACGGATTTGCTCTTTCCATGTGAAAAAGCATGGAGTCTGCAATTTGTGGGGGGTTATATTTTTATATTTTTAGTTGCACAACTTATGTTGGGCGTACAATGGAGTTTCTTCTTTATTTCGGGGCTGATAGTGTTGGGATCTCTGCGGTAAGAGATATGTTGGTTCTTTGACAGCTTCACCCAGATGCCTGTTTCTAGATATGCCAAGGAACAGTACAAATAAAATAATAAATTCATAACTTCAATTTGGGAGAAATTAGTTAATATATTTTTTTTCTAATACAGTTTATAAATGGCTGAAATAATTTTGATATACATATAATATTAAAAGAAATATGTTAATAAATATCCTTTTTGAAAAGGTTTACACCATTATATAAAATTGAACGTGTGACGTTTCTGTGGAAGATGACCATGTAAAAATAGAAAGAATTTAAAATGCATTTCCTAAGCACCTTAAAAGTTTTACCATCCAATAAGATGGCCACATAGGTTGTTGTTTTAGCGCAAAACGACTGCTCTCTATCAGCCACGGAAGTCGAACCTCAGATCTTGGTGTTGTAAATCTGTAAACTTACCACTGACACACTATAGGACTTTTCAATAAGAATATGATCGATGTTAAAAGATCCGTCAAATTACGTTGTTCTAGACATTTTCATTAAGAAATATATTAAAATAATTATTTGAAGTATTGCTGTCAGCTGTATTTTTAATGTTGTAATTTGTGTTTTCTCTAGAGAGGGTTTGTTTGTAATTAAGCACAAAGCTACACAATAGGCTACCTGTGCTCTGCCCACCACGGGTGTCGAAACCCTGATTCTAGCGTTGTAAGTCCGCAAACATACCGCTGTGTCCACTGGGGGGGGGGGCTAGAGAGGGATGCGGATTTTAATGATGACGTTAAGATAGGCAAATAAATGTTGTTTTTCTTGTACATTCGAAGTTAAATTATAGACAGTTGTAAGAAAAGTAGTAAGATTTCGAAAATAATATTTTTTTTTCTTCTATCGCGTAAGGATTTATTACAAATCTTGCTGAAGCCAAATTATTATTTCGTTTACCACAATGAACATTTTTATTATTATGTTTGCTAACAAAAATACGAACAAGCTGAAGAAAAGATAAGAACATTGATGTCAAACGAATATGCATCCTCATTCACCGTGATTTTTTTTTGTGAAATCTACGTCTTTTAGTCTCAAACTACATGTTGTGGTCTTTCTTTTATGTACTGCGTCTGGAGCATCTCGTTTCAATGACCAGCAGTAATCAGCCATCTTGCTAATGTTCCACCTTCCCTGATACCTCCTCTTCATTTCCCTGATGTCTTGATGAAACCTTTCCCCTTGTTCTTCGCTGACAGCACCGAGATTTTCAGGGAAATAGTCAATACATGAGTGCAGGAAATGAACTTTCAAGCTCATATTACAACCAAACTCGTTGAATTTATCGAGCATGTTATTGACAATATTTTCGTAATTTGGATCCTTGTTGTTTCCTAATTACATCTTTAAAGGCAGTCCACGCCTCGTTTTCAACTTTTCTCATTGTACTTTCGAACTGTTCATCCGAAATCAATTTCCTAATCTGAGACCCAACAAAAATCCCTTCTTTAAGTTTCGCTTCTGAAAGAGCTGGGAATTGCTCACAAAGATACTTGAAACAGTCGCCATCTTTGTCTAGGACCTTTACAAGCTTCTTTATCAAGCCCAATTTTATGTGAAGTGGAGGTAATAGAACTTTTTTTGTGTCAACCAAACTTTCACGTTCAATGTTTTTCGATCCTGGTTTCAGGCTGACTCTGCGTGGCCATTGCTTCTTTATCCAGTGCTGATTTCGCGCTCTGCTGTCCCATTCACACAAAAAACATGAGAACTTTGTATAACCGGATTGTTGATCCAACGACATAGAAAGGTTTAAGTCTCCACAAAGTAGCCATCTATGTTCTTTGTATTTGATTTTATTAAAAAGAAGTTCGAGATTTGTGTACGTTTCCTTCAAGTGAACCGAATGAGCAATAGGAACAGATGCATATATGTTACCATTGTGAAGTAGAACACCTTTTAGACTTCTTTTGGAAGAATCAATAAACAATCGCCACTCACTTGATTCATAGACTGCAGCTCCTAGTATTGGTATTAATTCAGCAATATTGTTGCAATAAACCAATGAACCTTCTTGCGAAAAGTATGGCGTAAACTCTTTCTCACGAGATCTGTACCAATAAAATGATGTATATGGAGAAAGTAAGTTCTTAGCCCGAAGTCTGGCCCCAAATCCATGAAGAATCCTTCAGAAGACCAAAATCTCTCACCAAATTATTAAGTTCACCTTGTGTGAAAAGTTGTGGTTCACCAGACGTTTCAGGTTAAAAACAATCCCTATCATCATTTTTATTGACATCAGATTCAGAATCAGATGAAACTGTATCAAGAGCCTCCGGTGGAGTAGGTACAGGTACATCAGGTCCATGAGCAACAGGTTGAAAATTCGGATAAAAAATTTCCTTTTTATTCCGACTGTTGTAGCCTTGCACGTTACATGAGCAAAAATAGCAGTCATCTCCGTGGTTTCTAGGCTCATGTCAGACAATTGATTGGCCCGGCATGGCCAGGTGGTTAAGGCACTCGACTCGCAATCTGAGGGTCGCGGGTTCGAATCCCCGTCACACCAAACATGCTCGCCCTTTCAGCCGTGGAGGCGTTATAATGTGACGGTCAATCCCACTATTCGTTGGTAAAAGAGTAGCCCAAGAGTTGGCGGTGGGTGGTGATGACTAGCTGCCTTCCCTCTAGTCTTACACTGCTAAATTAGGGACGGCTAGCGCAGATAGCTCTCGTGGAGCTTTGCGCGAAATTCAAAACAAACAAACAGACAATTGGAATTCCAAAAGGCAAAGACTGTTTCTTACCTTTAGTCCATTGTTTCAACTCTTGGATACAAATGATGCAAACTTTGTGTGGAGCCCATGCTTTGTCTTGGTCCCCAAGTTTTATTCCAAGATGCGCGTAATACACTTTTTTGACGAATTCTGTAATATTTTGCATTTGTTTCTTTACAACAAATTCACCACAAATATAACAGACTATGTTTGGGTCATTTACACAAACTCTTGATGACATAGCAATGAATAAATAATATTGAAAAGAAAAAAGTAATGTCATAGTGCACGGATAAACAAATACTATCCAGAAATGGCACGTCATACAGCCTGTTAAACGTTTACATACTAGCGGTGTGTTTCTCGTGAGTTCTAGAATGATCAATAAGACTCTCACGTCGCGATTGGTCTAGAGAAATCTATAGCCAGTAGTTGTCAATATGTTAAGCATAACAAAATGTGATCCAATTTAAATGAAAATGATTCATTTTATGTAAAAGTATATATGACGTTTTGTTCAAAATCTGTACGTGATGGAGAAAAATGGATATAATTTTTGGATTCAGCGTACAGGAATTACTGTAGAACATGTAAAAATTTCAAGACAACAACGCCATCGCAGGCCTGTGCTATCGCGATTACTTTGTGTAAGTACATTGATCTGATTTTACTTAAATCCTAGATTGTTAGAGAGGCTTGAACGTCATTCGTAATGTAGGCCTACGGCAATTTACGACTGTGTACAAGTGTAGAGGTATGTAGAAATGTTAAAGGAGGAAATAAACTAATTTGTTAAGTTTAAGTGGACTGGACTTTGAATTATTTTCACCATATAATTGAAAAGAACCCACCAATGAAATTGCAATTCCACAGCAGTATTATTTAATACTGTGATTTTGTTGCCTCTACTAGATGCATGTATTAATTATATTTATTCACCAAATGACTTAAGCAGAAATTCAAGAAGTATTTGGCGAAAAAATTAAAAATTACAACATTTCCGATTTTTAAGGTGGACTACACTCACTTAAATGTAATATAACAAATTTCATTATTTGAAAATGGAATATGGACAAAAATGATAAATCGTTAATACCTTTACATACATTAATTCTTTATATACATTATTCAAATGTTCGTAAATTTCTCAAAAACGTACGATATTTGTATGAAGAAAATTCGGGGTATTATAGAGAAATAGCACGTTTTGATACGGTTATGGTAGTCATATTTAATACCAGCGTAGAAAGGTCTGCCTTTACTTCGAGTAATTGCTATTTCGGTTACTGATACTTGGGTGGCCCGGCATGGCCAGGTAGTTAGGACGCTCGACTCGCAATCTAAGGGTCGCGGGTTCGAATCCCCATCCCACCAAACATCTTCGCCCTTTCAGCCGTGGGGGCGTTATAATATCACGGTCAATCCCACTATTCGTTGGTAAAAGAGTAGCCCAAGAGTTGGCGGTGGGTGGTGATGACTAGCTGCCTTCCCTCTAGTCTTGCACTGCTAAATTAGGGACGGCTAGCGCAGATAGCTCTGGTGTAGCTTTGTGCGAAATTCAAAAACAAACAAACTGATATTTGGATTGTGTCCGTAAATTTACCCCCCTCCTCGTAGCTCAGCCGTAAGTCTTCAGACTTATAACGTTAAAACCAGGTTTCGATACCCGTAGTGGCCAGATTACACACACAAACACACAGCCCTTTAATATTACACCAATAACATATATATGTCGTGTTTTGAGCCTGTATTTTAAGTTTGGTTTTTGAACGTTTGAGGCTTTGTAAGTTACCAGTGGTTACTCAATAACTTCACCAAAATGTTAAATTACATCATGCAATTATGACCAAATGTTTAACAATAAATTATACATTTTGCGCTGATAAAGCTATATTGCCTTTCGATAAAAATGTTATAATTGTTTCATAAGTCTATTAAACCATGCAATAGATGGCGCTAAAATATCCCCATTTCACGAGTCAATTGACAGGCAATTATGTTTTTATGGGTACGTGAGAAGCAATGGGAAAGTAATTTAGTCAGGTGTAACAACATAATTCAGCCAAAGGCTGCTAGTGCCTTGGCCAATTACTTTGAATTAACATTTGATCACATATATTTCCTTACTCGTTTATTCATGTGATTGGTTTTACTTCGAAACCTTGAAGCAGATGATTTAAATATCCAACTGCAAACAACCTAGGGGGCATCAATGTGACTACCTTCCAGAAGAAATTTCCCTAGGAACAGATAAAAATCAGATTTAAAAGGCTAATATTTAATAAATATTTTACATAAATTAGGAAAAAATGTTTTTCTATGTACCTCAAGATTATGCCCCTAGGTTGTTTGACTTGAATTTTTCGGTTCATCCGCGTCTGAAATCAAAGTTAATGCTTATTACATTTGCATTGGTGTTTCGTAGGTTCTACTCCGACCTAAGTAAAAAGAAAAACAATTAAACGATCACAGTCACAGGTGAGTGGCGTAACATGCTAACATAGCGTTGACAACTTTTTCGTCAAATACAAAGATTAATGCTCATAAATTTTACAAGTACGATTATTTTACGACATATAACTATATACGTTGTTTCACATCCACATATATATTTCCACGAAATAACTTAAACTCTATTAGCACACATCCTACCATCAGGTAAACTAGACTATAATTTCTATTTCTGAATTAGAAATACTACTATAAAGTAGCACATTTCTCAAAGCTAACAACTGTCTTTAATATTACTGCAATACCGAGTTTATCAGTCTGAAAATATAGAATGACTTCCAACCTGTGGTTGAGTAAGGGTTTATTTGTTTGTTTTGAATTTCGCGCAAAGCTACACGAGGGCTATCTGCGCTAGCCGTCCCTAATTTAGCAGTGTAAGACTAGAGGGAAGGCAGCTAGTCATCACCACCCACCGCCAACTCTTGGGCTACTCTTTTACCAACGAATAGTGGGATTGACCGTCACATTATAACGCCCCCACGGCTGAAAGGGCGAGCATGTTTGGTGGGATGCGAACCCGCGACCCGCAGATTGCGAGTCGAGCGTCTTAACCACCTGGCCATGCCGGGCCTGGTTGAGTAAGGGCTAAGACAATTTGAAAACCTGGTGGACATCATCTCTGGTTCGAATTTTCAAAGGAAGCAAGTTGTATTAGATATTCCCCAATGTTTTAAAGCCACGTATCATTCTATTAGCCTTCTTATGGTGTTGAGATTAAAAAAAAAATAATCTTATTGTCCTTAATTCAACAAATCCTAATACTCGGTCAATTTTAATGGTCACAGCCAAATGTGCAGTCAGGCTTTTTACAATAATAACACTTAGGAATATTTTAATCTCTATTTCTTACATAATAATTAAATCATACTTTATAATTCGGTATCACAAACGTATAGTTTTACACCCCTGAAAACAACATTCTCGTCTGTATTAGCTTTTCCCAAACTTACTGCCATTAGCATATGTAGTGAACTTTTAAAATATATATATATATAACTACAAAAACCCCAAACAGACCTTACATTAACCTCAATCGTCCAGTCAAGAAAAAAAACCAATACAAAACAGAAGTGTTTTGGTAGTCTCTCCCCCCTCCCCTACAGGTAGGCCCGGCATGGACAGGTGGTTAGGGCGCTCGACTCGCAATCTGCGGGTTCGAATCCCCGTCCCACCAAACATGCTCGTCCTTTCAGCCGTGGGGCGTTATAATGTGACGGTAAATCCCACTATTCGTTGTTAAAAGAGTAGCCCAAGAGTC